CATAGAATTTAGAAAGAACAGGGGAGTATATGCCCACCTGTATACTCATACAGTATATACAGTATACTCACCTCACCTGTACATATACTCACCTGAATACTCACCTGTATACTTACCTGTATAGATCACCTGTATATATACTCACCTGTGTATGTACATTGTACACTCATCTGTACTCTGCTAACCCGTGTATTTACTCACCTGTACATACAGTATACTCACCTGTATAAACTCACCTGTGTATACTCGTTACCTGTGTATACTCAACTAACTGTATATACTCACCTGTGTATAGTGTACTCAACTGTATATACTCACCTGTACATATACTGAATAGATACAAAATAGGCCTATATACTGTGTACAGTGTACACCTGCATACTTGTACAGTTTCTACTCACCATATACAGACAGACAAACAGACAGACAGAAATATAACACTATATTTTAAATTAACCTTAAAACAGTAAACATGTTATTGGAGCTTTTCATTGTATTTAATTAAATGAATGCAGTCTGTGGTTAAACCATGGGTTAAACACGGAAGAGTCAATAATGAGGAAGGGGAGTCTCACGTGAGTGGGTTGCGTTAAGATAAACAGGCTTCAAAATAAATTCATGCAGTTGAGAACGAATGACCAAGGGGATTATTAACATTTTTATTTGGAGCATACAATACAAATATTACAAACAAAATCAAATGCAATCCAAGAATGTGGTGAGGCTGAACAGCCCACTTAGAAAAATTAAATAATTTAGCTCTGATTCACCTTACTTTGAAATGCTCAACCGGAAGTGTATGTTGTTGTGACTGCGCCAACCAAGCAGAGTGATTAGTTTAGTTCCGTTTATAGTTTGTGTTTATGAGCCTCTGGGTGGTGAGTGCCGTTTATTAACCTCACAGTCGGCTGGATACTGCTCCATTCAGCATGATACGTTGGACTAACGCGTGGGTTTGACATAGTTTGAGACACAAACATTAGCTGCTGGCTCTCAGTTAGCATTAGTTATCAGAGCCGTTCACTGACCCTCGGATATATGGACATGTTTTCTTTACGTCTCCCCGAGTCCACCGGACAGCTGTAAACTCTAAACAAACTGAAGTAATTCAGCTTGACTGCTGTCTCCAGACATGTCCCAGCCTGCAGACTGTGATGACTCCACTCCCCTGCTCAGGGAGGACGCAGACAGGTGAGTGAATGGCTGTATCTCATTTCTGGAATTTTCCCTCCTCGACTCTTATCCTCGTGTCTTAGTCCCGCCCACAGGAGCTGCGAGCGGAGGAGCCGAGGAAGGGAAGCAGCAGGCGGTTAGAGAAATGAGAATTCCTCTCCTCTGAGCAGTCATTTTAAATACCTCATTCACACCAACGCAACTCCGGTTCAAGCTCCGTGCTAGAGCTTTTCAGGTTCAGAACCGGTTCTTCGGTTTAGCTCCGGCTCTTTTCACACTGCCCAGAGTCCGACTGATGCTGCGTCATTGCATCATCGTTTGCGTCGTGACGTAACCGTTTGCGTGCCTGCTTCATAAAGCCAAACCGCGCGGAAACCCCTCACAGCTGATAACAACAACAATGGCCGGTTGTGCTCCAGCTTCCTCTGTACCTCTTCGGAAGACCAGATTCCCAGTAGGTAGCTGGTCTCTTCAGTGGACCACTGCTGCTTGTTAAGTTTCTCCATCGTTGTGTACAAACTGGATAAAACGCAGGCTTTTTGTTGTTGTTCAGGAGTTGATCCCGCCCCTGCCCCCTGCCCCCGCCTCGACGTAAGCGTGACGTATGTGGTGCTTTTGCTCTGGCCGGACAATTTTTTGGAGCTCGAAATGAACCGGATTCCGGAGCTAAGAGGCTGCTCCGCTGCGGTGTGAAGAGGAAAACCCGGTGCTTTTCAAGCTCCAGCTCCGAACCGGCCCTGAAACACCGTTGGTGTGAATGAGGTATCAGCGGTTGGAATTCATCTTGACACCGCTGCTGAGTGGGTCGAGTGAGTCATCGCCGCCATCCAAATAGCCATCATCATATATTCATCTCAATCTCTTTTCCTTAATCGAACCGAGTGATGCAGACACAGCTAAACATCTTGTTTGTGTGCGCATTGTTCATGTTTCTTTGTGGAAATTAGCGAGATCCGATGGGTTTTTGTTTGCTGAAGTTACTCATCATAGGATGCATCACTTGGTCTCCATAAAAGCAAAAATACATTGCTGATATCACAGGGACCAGTTGGGATATACAAGTATACAAGAGACTGATGTGTAAACAAATAAGCTGCCGGTGAATGCAATAACAACGTCCTGCTTTCTCTCCGATGTTTGCTCATCTCTGAGAACTTGTTGTGTGGATTGTGTCCTCTGCCGGATTCTGGGATGTTGGTTTAGCCCTGCAGCTGGAGACAGTCGCAGTGACAAACCCTTACCCCCAGCAATATGAGTACTCCTTACATCATTAGCCACCATCCATCTTCACAGCACCCAGTACTGAGCACAGTAATACACCCCTCAAGGGGATCTCTTTGTCAGACGCATGTATCTTCCCTCCACCAAATCCATTTCTCCCTTTTTTTTACCTCATTGTGAATTATGACTCTTTCATCTTCCCCCGCAAGCGTTTTTTTTTGCCGTCCTATCAAATGTGTATTTCTTTGCTGCCACCCTCACATCCTTAAGATGACTCGTGTGTATTACAGGAAGAGCATTTGTCAGACAGGCATTGCAGAAGTCTTGACATGATTCTGTGTGATAAACGTATGTCTTTCTATCTTTTCTGGCTGTAGATAGAACAGATGATGAGCTGGAGATGACGACGGTGTGTTACCGGCCGGAGGGTCTTTCCCAGTTGGAGGCGCAGACCAACTTCAGCAAACAGGAGCTGCAGATCCTCTATCGTGGCTTCAAGAATGTAAACACACACTTTCTGCTTTTATTATTACATTACAGTATCTTGGTGAATTCAAGTAACTTCAAGTTTAAAAATGTAGATTACCTTAATAAAAACACTTTTCTTTATTTTCCCAAATGGCATCTAGCTTTTCAGATTTGTATTAGATTTGTTTTAAGATCCTTTATCTTGACTTGTGTAAAGAAAATTACACAAAAATGCAAAACACTGTGAAATATTGTGAAAAACAGTGTTTGCCTTTGTCAATGTTGAGTCATAAAGTTACACTGATGTTTGGCACCGAATATTTGTATTTTGTGTGGAATTACCCAAGACACAAAAAGCAGTTTTTAAAAAAAAATTATGTATATACAAAAAATGTGCGTATTAAGGCCTGAAGGGATTATTGTTCCTAATTGCAGCGGTTTTATATCAAACTAAAGAAAAGCAATAAACAATACAGCTATTTTTTCAAACGTTTTGCTGGCTAACTAGCTCAAATGTGTAAGAGATTCGTGGGTCAAATGTGATGAGGTCATGCCTCCACAGTGCTGCTGATTTCTTCCAACAGTAGAGTGGAGGAACCTTACTCCGTGTTTGTCTTTCCTCAGGAGTGTCCAAGTGGGGTGGTCGATGAGGAAACATTCAAACACATTTACGCACAGTTCTTCCCTCATGGAGGTAAAGTGCAATCAAATGTCATTCATTGCTCTGAGAAGCCTTTCCACTGCAGCAGACCGCTCACGTTATCTGTTTTTGTGTTGCAGATGCAAGCATGTACGCACATTATCTCTTCAATGCTTTCGACACTACAAACAATGGCTCCATTAAGTTCAAGGTCAGTCCTCCTCCATTTTGTGTCAAATAAGACTCATTCCTTGCTTCCATGATGCTTTCAGAATCTGACTTTGTCTTGTTTTCCATTGCTGTCAGGACTTTGTAATGGGTTTGTCTATACTGCTGCGGGGAACGCTGAGAGAAAAGCTTGAGTGGACGTTTCATCTTTATGACATTAACAAAGACGGATACATAAACAGAGAGGTGAGGTTCGGCTCTAAGAGTGTGTACAGTGTTGAATATGAAGTCTATGTCTTATCACAATGTGACCGTGCCTGTTCTCAGGAAATGACGGAGATTGTGAGGGCAATTTATGACATGATGGGGAAGTTCACCTACCCTGCAATAAAGGGAGACGTCCCGCAGCAGCATGTGGACGCCTTTTTCCGGGTAAATAAGTCTTATTTTGAATATAAGATCAACGCAAGTCAAAAGTAAAGTGTCTTTAAAAATACCCCTGTAGATCTAAAATGATCATATTAGCTTCATTGAGACTCGTTACAAGTTTATGTTGCATAAAGCTTATACATTTGAAGTCATTAGCAAATGTTTTATAATTATTCTCCAGTTGGTACTCAATACTGTGAACATGTTTCTGTAGTTACTATAATCCATATGTGTTGCAACAGGACATATTTGAGACTGATTTGTATTATATTGCAATGTGTTTTTCCACAGAAAATGGATAAAAACAAAGATGGAGTGGTGACTCTAGAGGAGTTTATTATAGCCTGCCAGGAGGTGTGTATTCTCCTGCTTCTGAAATAATAAGAAATACATGTAAAAAGTGCTTCCTTTGTATATTTGTAAATATTACATAGCATGTATTCTAACGGATTGTCTCAATGGGTTTACAGGATTAACAATCATGAATGACAGTGCTAAAGGATAAATACAATTACAAGCAAATAATGCAAGACAAGAAGATAGAATGTGAAATACAAACAAATAAAATAAGAGTATAACAGAAATACAATCAAAGCAATACAATGTAATATTCTCTCAATATACTTAATGTACTAAAGTATCTCCTCAGCATGTACAGGATTGTTTTGAATCTGTGTAGATAAGTGATGTTATAGCTGGAGGTTGCTGTCATCGTGCAGCCTACACATCATGGAGTCAGTACATTGCATCATTCTGCCCTGATTACTTGTGTTCTCTCTCTGTAGGATGAAACCATGATGAGCTCCATGCAGTTGTTTGAGAACGTGATGTAGAACAAGGGGAGATGATGAAGACAAAAATGAAATGCGAAGTGTGTGTGTGTGTGTGTGTGTGTGTGTGTGTGTGTGTGTGTGTGTGTGTGTGTGTGTGTGTGTGTGTGTGTGTGTGTGTGTGTGTGCGCGCGCTCGCGCGGGGGTGGATGCATCCAGTTTCTCCTCCTCCTCCTCCTCTGGTCAGACCTCCCCCCACAACAACTTGAAAGAAAGGACTGGACTGGAATGCTGTTCGCCTTCCTGCTGAGTGTCCCCACACAATACAAAGAGACTGATGCGACAGACATTGCTCTCAGTGCTTGTCTTGAAGATTGTCATGTTACCTGATAAAGATGGTCCTGCATTACAAGGCTGCTCCCGATCAGCAAAGAGCTTTTGTTTAACCAGCACAACTTTGTTTGCCAAAAAAGAGGATATTTTTTTGCCAAAAATATTATTGCATGCTTTTGCAAGAGGTTTAGATTTTTCACCCAACAATTGTCCGATTTATTACGGGAATTTGGCCATAAAGACTTCCACATGTATCGAATGCATCGCTGTGACTGCTGTTCCTTTGTGTCGACCTGGCTGCTGCTCGCCTGCTGAGTCTGTCTGATGCTCGCTGTTAAGTCTCTCTAAAGTCAATTTGGAAACATTACATTTCATGGGTCTGATATGTTTTGTGCCTGTCTTCCTGTCCATGATGGACCTTAGGTATTAGTGGAAAAAAAAGAAAAATCGAATCATTCTTTTATATTTTCACCTGCTGCTTTGCTTACTGTGGTCAAATCAGTGTTGTCAAAAATGTTTTGAAAAAAAGTATTGTGAATGATGTGCATACATTGGGTATTTTCATCAGAAAGAGGCTTTATGATCATCAAACCAATCGGTTTTATTTGCACAGGTGACCGGTTCAACATGATGCAGTCAATTATGGTAAAGAAAGGTATGATTTTGCTGTTAGCTATGTTATTATACATGAAATGATATACCTATTAGCGAAAAAATTCATTTTATGTGTACACATACTCGGCCAATAAAGCTGAGATTTAAGTATATAGTCCATTCTAATAAAATCCTGGTATGAAACAAATCTGATAATCTTGCAGGGAAATAATATTGAATGTCAGCTTTTTGGAATGTGATGTTCTGATGACACCTACTGTAGGACAGCTCTATTTACCCGAACCCCCCTGTTATGCCACGCTGACGGATACAGACAGACTTCAGGTGTCAGTGAGCTGTTCTCTGTACGGTGCATCAGTGTGACATCGAAGCCTCTGGTGTCTGATATCTCGGTGTGGAACGGTTATTAAATCTCACTAACAGAAACATATATTTAAGCCATAAAAATAAACAGGTCAATTCTTAAATTGAGTGATGTTTTACTTTCCAGTCGTCTTTGTTTCTGTCTCTTTACTGCAGGACTATAGTAGTATTCTTCCTACAATGTTTAGATTTTATAGTCAATTAATAATAATAATAACTATAAAAGTTGATGGAACAAATTAAGATTATTATCAAAATAAAAAGAAGTCAAATATTGAGAGTGATAAAAAAAGAATACATTTCTTACATTATAATTATTTAGCTATTATTAGACCTTCGTTCTATACAACAAAATAGTAGATGTCACCAAGGGTAGGAAAAAGTACTCAGATCCATTATGTAAGTAAAAGTACAAATACTATGCTCTTAAATAAGTTAAAGGGGACCTATCATGCAAAATGCACTCTTGTACGTCTTTTATACATGAATATGTGTCCCCAGTGTTCCAGGGAACTCACCAAGTGTCAGAAAATACAACCCTCTCTCTTTTCCTCCGTACCCAAATCTCTAAAAAAGCGGGGTTGTAACGGATCTGATACAAGAGGTTTCTCAATACTCAAATTTGCCCTCCTCGACTACTATCCTCGACTCGAGACTTGGTGCCACCCACAGGAGATGCGAGCGGAGGACTGAGGAGGGGAACCGAGGAGAGAGGAGTGGAAGGAGCAGGCGGTTAGAGAAATGAGAACTCCTCTCCTCTGAGCGGTAATTTTAAAGAGACGTCCATTAATGATGACAGGAGGCACAGCAGCACTCTGATGGACAGATGTGTTCATGACAACTTAAATATATATTTACTTTTAATTAATTGACAGTACGGTATAATGAGACAATAACAGGCTACAGATGCGACATATTACACACACATCAATATATTTAATATAAATATATACAATTTTCAGAATCAAAACAGTATTGAGATGGCACTCTCATGAAGTAGACGTATAACACAATCAGAAAGACTGGAATATATAAGTAAATTATATATTTGTTTGTAAGATAGTCTACTAAACTATCAGCCATACAGATAAGCAGAAAGTAAGTGTATGTAGGCTGTTTATACTGAGTGGATATATATGTACGCACACTTGCTCTGCTTTCTGCACAGACCTTCACAGATGTTCTCAGACTGTAATCGTCGCGTTGTCGATGAAAGCCAGTTACTTAATATGAATATCCATAGGGATTGCATGCAGAGCTGTCATTGGGCTCGAGATAATGTCCCGGCCGTGCGTTCACGCTCCACCAGTTCCCTGGAAATGCAATGAGGAGGGCCCATGGATGGATGTGAATCCATCCATGGCCATCCACATCCATCCAATCCACGTCCATCCACATCCATAATGTACAATGTGTGGTATATATATATATATATAAATAGTGTGTGTTTATATATATATGGTTTATAAATGAAATAAAGATGTGTGTATATATAATATATAATGACGATAGTGTGTGTTTTATATATTTATGTTTTTATAAATGAATAAATGTGGGTGTAGTATTATATATATATAAAACAGTATCATTAAAATAATGCTGTGTGTATAGTAAATGAATGAAATCATCTGTGTGTATGTATTAATAAATACAATGGTGTGAGTAACCGTATGAAGTGTGGTGTTTTATATATACTATATATGTTTATAAATGAATAAATGTGTGTATATATTATATATATATTAAAATAGTGTGTGTTTATATATATTATGTTTTATAGAATGAATAAAATAGTGTGTGTTTATATATATATGGTATTTTCTATAAATGAATGAAATGTGTGTGTATATATATATATATACTAAACAGCTATCATTTAATAATGCTGTGTGTATATAAATGAATTGAATACATCTGTGTTGTATAATGAATAAATAATGTGTGAGTACATATAAGTGTGTGATTTATATATATATGTTTATAAATGAAGATAAATGTGTGTAAGTTATATATATAAAATAGTATTCATTAAATAATGCTGTCCAGATAAATGAGTACACAGTAATTAGTCAAGGTTATATTAATATTCTGCATGGTGGTACACCAGCGTGAGGAATGATAAAACCACCAGTATGACAATTCTTAGGACTTTTCTCGTATGGGCTTTTCCAGCGTTCGTCAGTTGCATATTGACAAAGAAGCACTATTATATTTGTATATTATGCAGCGTTTATAAGGATGGTATTTATGCTTGTCAGATTTCAGGAATTTCGGCGCTGCGTCTATGACAGTATCAGCCGTAGAGCTACGTCCGATCCTTGCGTTAATGTGGAAGTGGGCGTGGTTAAATCGTATAACTGGGTTTGGAAATAAAGGATAGACGGCAACCGGGTAGTACGAGCTACGCACTGAACCAGGGTTGCGTTTCATAGTCCATTTAGCTTGAGGAACCTGGTTCCTATATCCAAGTGAAATGACCCGGAAGTACGGTCAGTGGCAGTCCATGTTAAGTGCCGTTCCATTCGTCCAAATGAAAGGAAAGAGGTTTCAAACTTCCTTTATAACCTACCTCCTTTTAGCTTAGAACCTCACTGGACTTCCCTTACCCAACATAGGAGACGGAGAAAATGCTGCCCACATCTCCACAATGCTTGCAGCCAAGCAGTATTAGAGTCTCACCTAAACTTAGTCGGTGTCGTTCAACTGAACAAACGATTCATGACGGAGAAATTATATCATGAAAGTTACGGTGGCTTATTAAGCAGTTTTAAATACGTATGTGGTAAGGTTGCTTCCAAAGTGCTGTTTGTTTGAACGTTTATCAGTATTAATAATCAAAAAGAGAAATATGAACGTTAGTTTTTAACTGAAATGATCAATAAAAGTAAACATTTCACTGAGCTGTGTGGGTGTTTGTTCACTTTTAAAAGATGTTGATGGGTGGATGTACACAGTGATAGGTGTAAGGACTGAACGTTTATAATAAATACATTTGTATTGATTTTAAGATATTTTCATACAATCATGAGTATTGGGATCAGTTTGTATTAATGTGGACGGAGGGAGAGGGTGACGAGATAAAATTGTCACTTTCCTTTTTTATTTCCATTACAACTTTGGTCATGAAGAATATGTTTCATCTGTTGTCCACGTGTCAATAAAGCATAAAAGAACAGCACCAGAGCACGGTGCACAGTCCTCTAGATGAGTCCCTCGTTCTTATTAAACATCCATGTAGTGCGTTTGTATAGAACACTAGTAGTTTCCATAGTTTCACCCACAGTAGCAGAGCACACGAATGACGTAACGGCTGGCGCCTGCATAAACTCAGATAGTGAAAGTGCATTCGGATTTCTAGAAGTTACTGCAGTCTCTTCTCCGAGTCCCTTTTTAAGTTCTCCTATCAACTATCCCTTGACCCCGTGACGTTTCCACGCAGAGGTCCAAGAAATAGGAGATAGGGTTAGAGATTGTAGGAGCTGATTTTTGGATTATCGGAATGCAAAACCCATGTACTAGAGCGTCTCAGCGCTTTTCGAGCGGCAATGACCGGTCGTGGCCCAACCTCTCATCCCCTGATAGGTGGAGAAATTGACCATTAAGGGAGAAAGAGGGGTGATCCCTGTAATTAAGAATGCCAGTTTCCCAAACCGCCATTCATTGCACCAGATTAAAAACAGCAACAGAGTGGCTTTCAGGGCAAACTGTGCTTTGGTCCAGGTCTTTGCAGGTGCGACGATGGCATGATGATAGCTTTCACCAAATCTGATGGTTGCTGCTGTGTGCAATGAATGACTTTGGCTTTTGGACATGGAACCTATGCCATTGCCCTTTGCAACAGACGTCTTCGCCTTCATAAAACTGGGCTGGTCTGTAAGCCTTGACATCACATGGTGGTGCTCACTTCTTGGTTGCTCCTTTTAAGAACTTTGGCATGTTCTCATTGTACCTTCTGTAGAATGAGAAGTACTTAACGTCAGTTCAATGTACCTTCAATAAGAGAAGAGAACAATATCTTAAAAGTCTCTCTGGGAACAGTTTGCTTTCTCTGACATATAGAATATGGTATCTTGATAATACAATTTGTCTCCAGAAACACTATGCACAATGAACACATCCAGAACAAAATATGTTGGAAACAAAGCTATCGAACAATTACATTATATATATATATATATAATATGTACTAGATGTGTGAGTGTGTGTTGGGTGTGTGTATGATGTATGTATATATATAATATATATATCATGGTATAATCATAGTAATAATTTTTTAAGCTCCACTTCCAGATATGTCCTTTGGTCAGGAAGTCAGTTACACCAGTGAGCCTTC